GCCACTGCGTATATTGGCTACTCTGTTAGGCAGTGAAATTCAAGACTGTAAATATTAATTCACAAGAGTTAAAATGGGTTTCCACATAGCCAATATTGAGGAAATTGGTAACTGGAAATTTGTTTTGCAAAAGTGTATATCTTGATATTTCATCAGGTGTGAGATTTCAAAAAGAATCTTATAGTATAGATAGATAACTTGAAAGTGTTCCTTCTTTCAATCTTGACATTTGTATTGTCTTTGCTATTTTTTCTGTATTTTACAGGTTGATAATGTCAACCCAAAGCAACTTTCAGATATAAACATCATGCCAAAAGCTTCATTATTTCTAGTAGTATAGTTTATGAGAGAAAGAAAATTGTATGTTGTGTTCGTCTGTGTGTGTGAGAAAGAGAGAGACAGACAGACAGAAAAAATGAGAGAGAAAGAGAATGAGAATGAATCCAAGGGTCAACTTGGAGCCATTCTCAGATATTTATTACCTTGGCTGACCTAGTGAGTATGTTAAAACCATAATGGGAGGATCCTGGATGATTTCACTTAATTCTGCAGGATGCATACTATATGGTATTTTGTTCATTTAGATAATGTTACCAATTAATTTTCTCTTTACTTCATGGCTTATCATTTTCTCATCACATATTTTTAGACTATAAACTGACATTTTTTTTAAATAAGAATTGAATTTTTAAAAGGTGCTGGGGTACATTTATTGATATCATGTCTCTTTGTTTTCCCTTTTTAACTCAAAACCCCCATTTTAAGTGATAGAACATAATGTTTATGTCCCTAAAGAAAATTGTCTGTTGATTAGTTAAAGACTATATTTGCCAATTTGCTGTCTTTATGTATAAAATTTCAATTAAATGAAATATTTTAAGTCAGGGACTTCTGAATGATTAAAAACAAATGAAAAAATTACTCATACATTCATCATTTATTTACCGATCCCCTATTATATGCCATGAACTGTTCTTGGTGTTAGGACTACAACAGTGAACAAAGAAAATTCTCTATCCTCATGGAGCATAAATTCTAGTAGAATCCTGTTTGTTTCCACTTCTGCAGATAATTTCCTCTAAAATATTTTTTCATCTTGTGGGTACATGTATTATTACAGTCTAGTGTGTTTGGTTTGTTGGTTTCAATCGTAAGATTCTTGAGCTGCCTCAAAGCCTTCATTCCTTAGGACCATGGGCTTGAGCATCAATATATTTTAATCGATGTGTTTTAATCACAGCAGGTGATTATGGTGTGCTTCCAGAGCTGAGTACCACGAGCACAGAAAGTTTAGATTACTGGCTTGAAGGATACAGAGTCCAGCGCATATACTAGAAGATATTTTAAAGCCTAATGACATCAACCTGTTTTGTTTTAATTTGTGATTGTAAATTGAAATGTGCACGCAGCAAAAGAGAACTGGGATTGAAGGTTCTCATTATTTAAGTTCTCTCAACACTTATTTTGCCTCAAATCTAACATTTTATTTACCTACTTGTCCATTTAGCACCTATTGTATGCCAGGTGTCACAGATGAAAAAATGAACAACAAATGAGCCCTGTTACCTAGGAATTTACAGTCTAGTATGAGAGTTTGCAGTCTTTTTCTACAAAGGGCCATATAGTCTCTGTCACAACCATGAGACTCAGCTGGTACAGTGAAAAAGTAGCCATAGACAACACACAGACAAATAGATGTGCCTGCACTCAAGTAAACTTGATTCACTAAAACAGCCCATGGTCCGGATTTGGCTGTAGGCTTCAGTTACCAACTTCTGGTCTAGTACTAGAAAGAGAAAATAAATCAGTAATTACTGTAAAGTGGGAAAAGTGATTAAAGCAAGCACCAGTGCCTCCGTAACAGAGAGAAGGGACATCAAATTAGACTCGAGATTAACTGAAATATTTAGAAAAGATTTCTGAAGGAAATGCTGTTCAAGTGAATTATAGAGAATAGGCTAGAGTTTGACAAAAAGAAAGGAAGGATGTCTAAATAGAAGGACAAACATGTACAAAGTATAGGCATGTAAGACAACAAAGTCTCTTATGGAAACCAAAAGAAACTCAGTGTGTTTAAAATGCATGCAGGTTGCCTTTGTCAGCGGGAGGGTGAGGCTACAGAGACAGGCCCAGGCCATATTCTGATGGGCCTTGGCTGTGAAACAAGAAACATGGCTATGAAGCTGAACATCTTGGGGGGATCAAATAAAAAAATTAGGAAGAAAAAGTAACTTGTTAGCTGCTGGTTGGAAATAGGTAGACCTAATAGGAGACCATCGCAGAAAACCAAATGAAAATTGATGAAAATGGTAAGTATGATCAGGATAGAATGAATATGAGAGCTATTTAGACAACAAAGCTCCAGTTCTTGGTGACTGATTATGTAGGAGGATAAAGGAGAAAAAAACAGATAATTTCTAGATTTCTGACTCAGGTGACCTGATGGTGTAATTTATGTACATAGGAGGAGTAAACTTGAGTAATGGTACAAGAAGATGAATTCAATTTAGAACTCTGCATTCAAGGTAAATACGTAACACTGAAGCATAGCTTGGTCTTCAGTAGAAAATGGGTTGCTACTCAGCTGGAGACAGAGATTTGGGAGTCGACCATGCATAGTGACTCATAAGGTCATCAATTTAGATTAATTACCTATAGAAAGTCTATAAAGTGAAAAAACAGAGAGCAAAGGGCAAGACCTTGGGTAACATGAGTAGTTAAGGACAAGAATTTTGAAGGCGTAGTCACATAGAGTTGGGGGAAACCCCAAAGACAGGGCTGTTACATAGGAAGGAGTTTCAGGAAAAAGCAGCGGTGTTGAGTGCTGAATAGAAAGAAATGTATCTCTGCCATTTGGTCTTGTCCAAAATGTCCACAGAGACATTTGGCTCATGCTGAAAGGTCCTTGATATTTGCTGCTGTCCCAAAAGGACTGTGGAGACATTTTGTCTATGATTCATTACAGAACACAAACACTGAACCTTGTTCAAATTGTGTGGACCTTTTCTTTCCTATAATTCATGAGGAATCATGGGTTTCACATTGATTCTTATCTTCCGCATTATGAAGTTTAGCGGAGTTACTCGGAAGTCGATGAGCAATTGCTCTTGAGTATATACTGACCTAATTATTGGCTTTCTATTAATTTTATCTGTGAATAGTTTCAGTGATACAGATTTGATTCTGTTGGTATTGTCGTGAGGTTGGTGGCCACATTTGAGTGTGACCACCAAGAACCTGGGCGATAACTTGTGCATGGTTCTGCCATTCGTCTTTTTACACTTCAGGGACCTTTCAGTGTGAACCAATGTCTCTGTGGATAATTTGGACAGGACCAAATCTCTAAAACTTTTTGTGTGAACCAAATGTCTTTGTGGACTTTTTGGATAGGACCAAATGTCCACTGATCAACTTTCCACACTTTGAATACTTATGAAACTGAAATTAGAGTCTTCTAAATTATGTCTTTGTATGACTCAAATTGAACAGTTAGGGGCAAAATGAACTTTTAGACCTTTTTTGAGTTCTTCCATAAGCAACCATTTCTGGCATGACTACCAGGTTCATAGGTGTCTGCTAGTTGAAAATTGTGAATGGAGTCATCTAACCTCTTACTCAAAGTAATGATTGCTTTTGCATAGCCCCCATTCCAACTGGATTTGGAATTTAGTATCATTATTGGGAAGAATAATGCTTTTCTCTGCCTCTGAGCCTCACGGACCTAAGACCATCTTTCACACTATCTGTACCTGATGTTAGGCTGTGAATTTCCCTAAATGATGAACAGCTTCATCAAATTTTCTCTTCCTACTCAATTCTTTACAAGTTAAAGGAAGAAGAATAGCCAAGAAACAAAAAGGCTTTTATATACAGAAAATAATAGGTGTGCATTGTGAAACCATGTAGTTTTGAGCTAAAAGATTGATTATTAGCCATATTTTAATTCTGCTGCCTGGTGATTTGTGTTATTTACAGCACTAAATATTACCTGACTTGGCCAGTTCCTCTGCTATGAACTTAAATCTATTCCTTTCTTGCCTCATGTTGAAATACTCTGAAGATGATATACATACATATATGAATATGAATAAATATAAAACATTTTATAAAAGTTGTAGCAATAATGAAAGGAAATTATTTAGAGGAATTCTTATTTAGAAAGAATTTAGAGGAAAAAAATGTTCACCAAAATTTTGTGAAATTAACCAAAGGGTTCACTGTGCTTATTGCTGGGTAGGGGGAATTGCATGTAATTTGTATTTTCTTCTTTTTACTTGTCTACATTTTCTAAAGTGAATGAATATATTTTCTGAAATAGTATACAGCCCTAATCAGGATGGCTCAGTTAGTTGTTTGGAGTGTTGTCCAGTAAACCAAAGGGTCACAGTTTGATTCCCAGTCAAGGCACATGCCTAGGTTGAGGGTTTGGTCTTAGGGCTTGCTAATTGCTGATAGGAGTGTGAAAAATATTAAAGAAACTCAGGAAAAATCAGAGGTAAGCAAGCACAATCATGAAAGTCAAGATTAAATAACATTTTAAAGAAGCGTTAAAATTAACTGATTGGTCCAGAAAGCTGAAAACTGAGCTTGTTAAGATCTTTGTTGTTCTTTTAAAACTTGACTAGATTTAAAACTCTGCCAAGGGTAGAAACAATGTCTTTTCTATGTTCTGAAACTCTATCTTACAGTGAGATTACAGAGCTACACTCCACAGGTGCTCCATCGATTTCAAAAGATAGAACAGGAGGGAAGGGCGTGGAAAGAGGAAGAAAAAAAGGAATAAAGGATTTACAGTTGCCTCACTCTTCCTAATAATAATGGCATTCTTGTCTAGAATAACTAATGAAACAGGTCATTTTGCACACTTACCACTTTTCTAAAAGTAATGAGAAGGTTAGAACTAGGTTAACTAGAGTCAAAAACTTTTTTTTCATTAACCACTTTCTTTAGTTCAAATGTCTCTCCTAAACAACTTCTCTTCTGTTCAACCCCTTCGGTAGGAATGACTTGTTGATGGTCTGTCGCCAACTGAATATGGAAGAGTCTGTGGCTGAGATCATGAACCAACTGGGTGCAGATGAAAATGGGAAGATTTCCTTTCAAGATTTTATAAGATGCCGCATGCAGCTTGTTCGAGAAATTAGGAAGGAGGAGGTGGGCCTTTCTGAGAAGTCAGACAACTCCTGTAAAAAGAAGAAACTGAGGGATAGAATTGCATCCTGGCCCACAAGCAGTGACAACAGTTTTGGTAGGTACAACCACGTGCAGTTTGATAGTGCTCCACTAGCTCTGCTTCCTTGACCTCTGTAAATGACATTGACCTGCCAGCCTGTTGCCAGCTTGTCCCTGGGCTGTCTTCTTGGCCACACTTCACTGGTGAGAGCTCACTATTTCCCCTGTTCTATACTATAGCTTCACAGTTCCCAGTTCACCACTTCCATTATTTTAGTTCTCCCCTTTTTCAGGCATAATAATGCATTCAGATAGCTCCTAGAGAGAAGGGGTGAATTGGATGGCAAAGATGGTAACCGCATCAGCAGGCCTCAGAAACTGCTTGAGAACTTCTTCAAAGGGTAGTGCAGTGAGGGTTGTTTTTGCAGTGAGAATTTAAAAAAATTACTTAACATTAAAATTTTTCTATAAACAGTCTTTTCCTGTTCTTTTTTAAAATTATATTTTATTGATTATGCTATTACAGTTGTCCTGATTTTTCCCCCATTGCCCCTCCACCCAGCACTTCCCAGTCCCACAGGCAATCCCCACACCATTGTTCACATCCATGGTTCGTGCATATAAGTTCTTTGGCTACGCCATTTCCTACACTGTACTTTATATCCCTGTGGCTATTCTGTAACTACCCATTTGTACTCCTTAATCCCTTCACCTCCTCACCCATTCCTCCACACTCCCCTCCCATCTGGCAACCATCAAAACACTCTCGTATCCATGATTCTGTCTCTGTTCTTCTTGTTTGCTTAGCTTGTTTTTTAAACTGATAAGAACAGATACTACACTTGACCTTAGCCAAAAGGCCAAGAAGCAGTAGCTATCTTGTTTCTTAGATTCAACTATTTATATATATGTATTTTTGCCATTTTATTGCTCATAGTTTTGCTTTTCTTTTTCTTAAATAAGAAAATCCTTTAACATTTCATATAATAATGGTTTGGTGGTGATGATCTCCTTTAGTTTTTTTTGTTGTTGTTGTTTTTTTTTGGGGGGGGGGTTTGTATCTTGGGAATCTCTTTATCTGCCCTTCCATTCTAAATGGTAGCTTTGCTGGGTAGAACAATCTTGCCTGTAGGTCTCTGCTTTTCATGACTTTGAATATGTCTTGCCAGTTCCTTCTAGCCTGCAAAGTTTCTTTTGAGAAATCAGCCAACAGTCTCATGGGAACTCCCCTGACTGAAACTAACTGCTTTTCTCTTGCTGTTTTTAAGATCTTCTCTTTTTCTTTAACCTTTGACATTTTCATTATGATGTGCCTTGCAAGAGTGGGCCTATTTGCATCCATCTTGTTTGGGACCCTCTGTGCTTCCAGGACTTGCATGTCTATTTCCTTCACCAAATTAGGGAAGTTTTCTTCCATTATTTTTTCAAATAGATTTCCAATTTTTTGCTCTTTCTCTTCTCCTTCTGGCACCCCTATGCTGTGAATATTGGACCTCTTGAAGTTGTCCTAGAGGCATACACTATACTTGTGTTTTTGGATTCTTTTTTCTTCTTGTTGTTCTGATTGGTTGTTTTGTGCTTCCTTATGTTCCAAATCATTGATTTGATTCTCAGCTGCATTCACTTTACTGTTGTAAATTGTTCTGTATTTCAATTAGTATGTCCTTCATGTCTGACTGGATCATTTTTATGCTGCTGAGGTCCTCACCAAGTTCCTTGAGCATCCTTATAACCAGTGTTATGCACTCTGCATCTGATAGATTGCTTATCTCCATTTCATTTAACTCCTTTTCTGGAGTTTTGATCTGTTCTTTCATTTGGGCCATGTTTCTTTGTCTCCTCATTTTGGCAGCCTCCCTGTGTTTGTTTCTATGTATTACCATATTTTGCTATGTATAATGTGTACTCACATTTTTGTGCGTGTTATACATGGGATTATTATGCCCATGGCACATATTCATTATACCCATGTATAATACACATATATTGGGCAAAAGAAGTACGCATTATACATGGCAAAATACACTAGGTAGGACGACTTGGACTCCGTATCTTAGTAGTCCATATTATTGATTATGTAATTATAGTTGTCCTGATTTTCCCAGACCACTTACTACAAACCTCTGCCCTCCATGGAGAATCAGCTGTGCAGGGTCTGAGTGGTGGTGCTCCAATATAGTTTGTGCCTGTTCACTGGGTGCACTGGTGCTGGGGTTTCCCAGGTGGTGCAGGCCAAGGTCAGCCCCCACCTATGTTTTGGGTGGGGCCACCCTGCCTGAGCTATAAAGTGATCTGAAATGGCTGCTACTTGTGCTGGGCTTGGATTTCCCAGGCAAGGCCAAGCTATGAATCTAGGCTGGCTGCTGCTGAGGTTCACTGAGGCCAGCTGTTGCTTGTTTGAGAGTATTTAGGAAGTTGTGAAACAGTGAGCCAAGACCAACCATTCATATGGAAAAGCAGCTTGTGTGGACCCATAAGTTGGGTGGGGCAGAGTCTCTGGGGATCTCCAAGGCAGATCAAACAGTGTCAGCCAGGTTGGTGGGATCTCAAATATGGCACCAGCTTGCTGGCTCTTCAGCTCTGTGAGGGGAGGTTTTAGAAAAGGGACAATGGCCCTGGCTGGCATGGCTCAGTGGATTGAGTACCAACCTGTGAACCAAAGGGTCGCCAGTTCCATTCCCAGTCAGGGCACATGCCTCAGTTGCAGGTCAGGTCCCCATTTGGGGGTGTGCGAGAGGCAGCCCCACATTGATGTTTCTCTCCCTCTCTTTCTCCCTCCTTTCCCCTATATCTAAAAATAAATAAATAAAATCTTTTTAAAAAGAAGAGAAAAGAAAATGGACAATGATCTGTGCTTACCTTGATGTCTGACACCTTGGTTTCTCCCCATATGTCACTGGTGCCTTTCAGGCTGCTACCCCAGGGGTGGAGCTCAGAGGGAATGAGTCTGAGTAGGTGAGTCCATGTGTGGGTTTTTTAAGAGGAACTTCTTGGGGCTCCAGCAGTTTCTATCACTGTCTCAACCCCAGCTAGTTTTTGAAACCAGAAGTTGTGGGGACTTATATTCCTGGCACTGGAACCCTGGGCTGTGGGGCCTAATGTAGAACTCGGACTCTCTGCTCCCATGATATCCCTCCTGAATTTTCATCCACCACACATCGGTGTGGGACCAGTCTGTTCCACGTATGTGCCCCTCCTACCAGTCTGGATAGTTGTAGTTTCTTTAATTCTGCAGTTGTCAGATTTGCATTCAACTTGATTTCTGACAGTTCTGAGTGATAGTTGTTCTATATTTTAGTTGTAATTTTGATGTAGTTGTGCAAAGAGGCAAGCCATATCCGCATATGTGAGCATCTTGACTGGAAGTCTATAAACATGTTTTTCTGTCCATAAGTATTATTGTTTTCTACAAATACAAAATAAGCAACTGGAAAGTTCTTTAAAATGTTGATACTTATTGAAGCTGGGTGATGGAAATGTGGAGTTTGTTGCATATATTTTTGAGTGATCAAATACATATTTTCTATTACATTTGCAATTTTGCACAATAAAAAGTTTAGAGACATTTCATATTTTAAATCACATTTTTGTGAGTATTGAAGAAATATATATTCATTATAGAAAATAAGGAAAAGACAAGCAGAAGAAAATAAAACCAGAAATAATAACTACTATTTACATTTCTCTCTCTGTTTCTCTCTCTCTCATATATGTGTGATTTCATTGTTTTTTACTATTTTTTCACATACTTTCTATATAGCCCTTTGCATTGTCTTTGTGCTTTTAAATGGCATTTGAAAGACTGGTTTGTAATGGTTGCATGACAAAATGGAAACTTAGTAATATTTATTAAATTAAAGAGTAGAATTCTTTTCACTAAACTGTATGTTCTAATTTTTCTGCCGAGATCATGTACTTCTTATGTAAATGCATATATACATGCCCACATATTTGAAGGGTTAAGTAAATTGTAGTATATCTCAACAAGTGAACACCATATAGCCATTAAGGCAATATATAAGTGTGTATCTAATTTAGATATAGATGGAATACTTTTGTGGAAAAAAAACTATACTGTCAAAAGTTGTATTTTAATGTATAGCATATGATTATAAATATTCTAAAAGCAAGAGGCTTGAGAGAATTGCTGACTGCATCTGACTAGTTTGATGTAGTCAGCAGCTCTCCCTCCTCTTCTCCGGCACCACTTCCATCTCATAAGATTGCCCAAATAGAGACAGTGTTAAAAAAGTTTCTTTTCACCCTTTTCTATAACTCTACACCCTTGGAGAAAGAAGTAACTGAGAGGAGGTGAATTATAAAACACGTCATGAACCGAGGAAATGGCAGCTGATGTGAAACCTTTTACCAGTTTATCAGTTAAGGCTCCGAGTCAGAGGGAGCATGAATCCTGGTTCTGCTGCTTGCGTCATACTAGACAAGTCACTTGACCTCTCTGTATCTTGGTTCCCAATCAAGTGTAATACAAGAACAGTTATTGTTACTTGGAGGAATGCAGAGGCAAATATATATTTACATATACGTATATATGTAATACATATAAAGCACATAAAACAATGCCTGGCACATAATAAGCACTACATATTAGTTAACATTGTTATTATTATTACCCAGTTTTATTTCCTGGCAACTGTCACAATTGCAACTCATATGTCAGAAAATAACCTCCTATTCAGTCTAATATAAATGCAACACATCTTAAATTTTCAGCCGTTAAAGATGTATGTGTTCCATTAGTTCCTCTCTTTTCTACATCATTAGTCTTTGCTTCGGGCTCTCTACAGTATATCCCTTCTTGGGGTTGGAGGAACACTCTTGACTGCACGTCCCTTCTCACTCCTGCCCCACTTCTCTGCTCCTCTTCACCACAAAACTTTTTGAAGAGTTTGTCTACCTGGAATGTTTATCAGTCCTTATCTCTGATTCTTGCTTCAATCCACTCCTCCCACCTTCGTCATCACAAATCCCCGGTGGCACCTGCCCTTATTGCCTCCATGTTGACCAGCCCCGTGGTTCCACTTCTGTCCCCATCTGAATCCCTGGCATTTGACTCAG